TCCTTGTGGAAGGAAAAGGTAGTCCCTTATGTGTTCAGGCTCTCCCCTCTGCCTGAGCCGGGCAGCAATCCTGTCACTGCAGTGTCCTGCAGTGCCCACCCTGAGGAATCGGGGTGGCTGTACCATGCTTAAAAGCACCATGACAGCTAGTCAGAAAGGCCATTATAGAGAGGATCAAGTATTTTGTGCAAGAAAAACTCTCCAATGTTATAGGTATCCTGAATCTCTTCAACTAATCTAAATACAGCTAGTAGAGGGCCATTTTTTTCCATGGAAGCAGTGTTGGCAGGGGATTCCTGCTTTGGGCAGAATACCTTCATCTTCTCCTATAAGACAGACCAAATTCAGGTGTTGTGATTTGAGAATGTGAAGATTCCAAAGAAGAAGTTTTTGTGTATTATTTTCTCTGAAATCTGTTTGCTCCCCATAGGTAAGACCTTCAATAGTAAATATTTCCTTTATAAACCCTTTCATATTCCTTTTGAATGAGCTTCTGTGTCAGCTCCCCTATGTTATTATGAAAGGATTAGTGAACATTATCACAGCAGAACATAATAAAGTAATGCTTGGCAGCCCAAGTCACTCAAAGGATACTAAAGATCTGTCTGAATTTGCAGTAGGCACACTGCAGTGTTAAGACTGAAATGTATGGTGACAATAGTTGATTTAATGCTCAGTAAGTAGGCCTGGAAGTTAGGGCTTAACTGAAGGTTCCTGCCTCTGCTGGCAAAATCCAGAAATTAAAACAGGTTCTGTTCATGACTGTAAAATTCTTATTACTGAACAAAAACTACATAAAACATTTAGTAGTTTGAAGTCTAGGTCCTGTAACAGATGCTTTTTTTCAGGTAGCATGAGCAAAACTACTCTTGACTTTATTACATTGCATTGTGAATTGAGAAATTCAGGTTTTGTCTCTAGTTCAGTACAGCTGGGACATTCAGGCTGTTTCTGCACAGGTATCTCTCATGGAAAATGCGAAGAGTGCTTCACTTAGCCCTGCCTGGTGTGGGCTGGCTGTTAGAAGGCAAGCTTTGGGGCCAGAGTGTGCTTCTGATGCCCTCTGCTCAGGGCAGAGGCCATGGCTTCCCAGGTGCTCTAAATAAACACCTGCACCTGGGCCTCACTACGCATCCACCACTGACTGTACTTTTGGGAAGCAAGTGTTTGCAAGTGGCAAGGTGAAGCATTTCAGAATGTGATATACATCAAAGGACACGTTCCAGCCCAGCCTGGACCTGGATTTGTTCTAAGGAGCAGAGGATGAAGAGTAGCTACAACAGTGGTGCACAGTGTACAGGACGTAGGCAAGAAGGTCAGCTTGATTTGGCTAATGTCCAAACAGTAGTGCCTGGGAGGAACTAAAAGTATCTTCTAGAAACTACATCTCTATCTCAGTGCTTTTTTTGATGGGAACAAGGCTTACTGTCTTACTAAAGCCTCACATCTCTGTAGTCCACAGTAACTGACAGGCTAACGGTTTGAATGATCCATATGCATTGCTTTCCTCTTGGGACATTTACTATCTTGGTTAGGACTCCGCACTGGACACACATCATTTTGATGTAGCTTCAGCAATGCTCAGCATCAGGATAACGTTCCTCAGTATTACCCTTTCAGATCCTGTCTGCCTCTGAGACATTCTGCAGTGCCCAGACAGTGAGCCACCAGCAGCACTTTCCCTCTTAATCACAACAAGCTCCCTGTTTATGTCTTCTTTTCCTGTATTTCTTGCTGCACACTAAGGAGTGTGAGCCCCTCATGACATGTGCATACTGTGCTGCACACAATGGGACCCCAGTGGCTCAGTAGGGTTGCGCTTCAATTACAATAGAAATATTAATGTCAATTTATTTTCTTGATGCTTTTGAATAGGATTTGCTGAAAAATAAAGGAAATATGGGATATGGATCATGTTACCACAAAACCACATGCAGTGAAACATTCATCTGTCTCCAGGATTTCATGTCTTCTAGGCATCTGAGATAGCTGAGTTTGATTTACACAATCAAGCTATTCATTAGGTATCTGCTTGAGTTTTAGGCAGATGCATCCTTTACCTGAGTGATGAAATCTGACTACAGGAAATGGGAGCTATTCCTTTGTGAAAAGATCCCACTCTGCTTTAAAAAGTGAGCCTTGCAGCAATATAGTTCTAGAAAACTGCCAAGCTTTGTATACCAAATACTGTTCTAAGGGCTCAGCAATAAAACAGTTGTGAACTTGGGGGTGATCCAAGCACACAATAGCACATCTTTATGCAGTATTTCCTCTTTCAACATCCCTCTCCAACACTGTAATTCACTGACAACGTTTGGTTCATTTTAATACCAAAATCCTAGCCCAGAACACTAAGCAATTTATAGAGTCTGAATTCTTGTGTGGGCTTGTTAATTATTTAAATCACTAGTCCAAATCCCATTCCAAAGAGTGCTGGCTGGGAGTCCTTCTGGAGCAGACTGATCTATTGCTGGATTGTGCTGTGAGTCAAAGGCATGCTCAGTATTTCCTATCAACAGCCCTCTATGTAGCTTGCTGTTGTCAGAGCACTGTGCACGAAGGGGAAAGCAGCAAATATGTGTTAGAGAATATATCTGAAATGATCCAGTCAATTGATACAGTCCCTTACTAGGGACTGGCTTGGAAACTCTTAGCCAAGACATTTTGAGACAAATAAAGTATTTCCAGGCAGATGGGAGAGGCTGTAAAACCTAATGCTGTGTTGAGTGAGGCTTCTTATCTTGCAAACCACCCTGCAGATAAATACATGAAGGGAAGAATCCTGCTGGTTCTGGGATACACAGGTTTCCGCTGTCTTTGGTGAGAGAGGCAATAGTTCAGGTTTGCCTTGCACACAGGCAGCTGTAGTTTTGTGTATTTATTTTAGCTTTTGTGTAGTTTGCCTTTTTGTGCCCAAAATGGACACAATCACATCAGCTGTTTCAGTGTTAGGGTAGGCATTCAAATGAGAAACACCTTCTGCTCTTAAAAGGAAACTACAATATATTCACTCTGCTGAATAACCCGCCGTGCATTCCTCACTAGCCAGGATAATGGGACCTTCAAAAGCAGAGAAGTTTCACATGACCTCAGCACATGGGCCTGACTTTGAGGAAGCACATGGGCCTGAGAGGAATGACCTCCATACCATTCATCATTGTGGCTTGTTAACACTCAGACACACTGTTCCACGGGTTCCCCAGCACTAACCCACCCCAGACCTGAATGGCAGGGGCATAGCTGGGCAGAGAGGTCACTCTGAGCTATGGTGGCAAAACTGCCACTCCCCAAAGCACAGCCTTTACTTGTGGGCAGCTCCTGTTGCTGTCCTTCCACAGAACCAGCTCAGAGTCACAGGCATTTACCAATTACACAGCAGGAGATAACAGGCTAATGTTCTTCTTAAAGCTGCTATGGGACAATCAACACAGATGCAAGGGAATGCATACAGCACTTACATTACTTGGTATTTACTTATAACCTCCATATTTTATTATTGAATTTTACAATTCCAAATATAATGAAACAGTTAGAGTATTTTATTACAAAGATTATAAAATAATTAAATATTACACTTATATTTTTTGCCTTTTTTACACCATAATTCATACTCTGTGACACTACCATTTTCTTTCCTCGGTTGTCACTTAAGGAAGTGAGCAAAGAAATATAAAGGAAAAGCTATGTATTAATAAATTAATTATTTTACATCAAATAATAAAAAGGACACAATTGTAAAAAAACACCAAACCAAAACCAACCTTGTAGTTTTCCTAGAAAAAAAGTTGTAATTACACAGTGTCCAGTATCAAGACAGAGCGGTGTAGGTTGAGATATGCTTCCAATCATCATTTCTCAGAGTATCATAGAATACATGTTTTTAATTTAAACTGTTGCAGAAGGAACTGCTAATTTTCAGTGACCACTGTCTGGTCTTAGTGCTGAGTTAGCTAATCTTATGCTGAAACCATACTTTAAAAACATAGTCAAACTGAGCTACATTCATCAAACGGAGTTGTGGGATTGGATGGAATTGGATAAATAAATCCCTCATAGGCACTCCCCAGAAAATTACAGTAGGACACAGCTCTGTGTCAGAATGGGTTTGGCAAATAGGTTGGGGATTTTTCAATGCAGAAACTTTCTGAATCGTATCGTTTGATATATAGTGTCACCAAATATCTCTGCACTGAATGAGGACAAATATCACTATGTTTACAATTCTTTTGTTTGCTGGTGGATTCTGAACTAAATACAAGTACTAGGAGAGTGTATAAAAATAGAATTGACTTTTATTTGGTTAGAGTAAATAATTCACTTATCTTTCTCATGCAATTTTTTCTATAACTGGTGTGAATAAATAACTGTTTAGAGAAATTCAGCATGAATTAATTGACTCCAATATTCTTATTTCCTTTGGGTAATGGATGAATCAAAATTTCCAGAGGAATTTGAGATTACAAGACATTCTTCAGTATCTTGGCATTCAAACAAACTAGCTTCTGAAACAAAACTACTTTAAAATATCAAGTTTAAATTTTAAAATTACATACCTAATGAGCTTAAAAAATTGAAAACATAACCTTTGAGCTCAATAAATCCAAGTTCCTTGAGTTAGTTGAAGTATGAACTTCTATTTTACTTGTAACACAGCAATATTAAAAGTCCAAATATTCTAACGCTGAATATTTCTAGGAATACATTTCAAGTTGCTAGTCAACCACCTCTTGAGTTTCTATACAAAGCAGAAAATGAATTCTTCAAAATAATAAAAACATTAGCATGATGCAAAACTTGCTTTTCCAGCAGCAAGTGTGACAGAGGAGCACCATATATCTTTGTAGTGCAGTATTTACTTCTGGTGGTCACATGTGTGACACTGTGTTCTGCAGCCAACAGCCACAAGAATGTCTCTGTGGGAGTGGCAGGAAACAGCTTCCTCACCCTGGGACAGTACTGTAACAAACAGGGAAGGAAACCCTTTTGATGGTGTGAGCTGTCATGCTGCCATGCTGCAGCCTTCCTCCTTGAGCTCCCAATCCCTTTGCTTTGCATTCTGGTAAATTAGCCAGGAAAGGCTTCCTTGCCTTAACTTCTTCCTTTTAACACGTGACATGTGCAAAATGACACTTCTAAAGAAAGAAGAACTTCCCCTTGAGTCTCAGTGTTCAAGTGATCCATAGTACCCTGTGCTTTAGTGAGGTCAGCAAGTAAAGAAAAGAAAGAAACATTCCTTTTTCAACATATATCCAACAATTACTGTACCTCAGATATTCCCTTAGAAAAAATGTTTCTTCCATCAGTGGCTTATGTGGCACCATGTCTTGCCTCAAAGCAGAGGTAATTCCAACATAAATTGAAGAAAAGATTTCTGTCACTGAAGGGTTCAGATAACACCCTGCTATCAGATCTTCTTTGTGCATGATTTACAACATTGCTTGCCATAAAATTTGTGGTTACAGACACCATGCTGAGGCACCAGATGGCACCAAGTGAAGAAATCCACACAAGAAGGATCATCTGAAGGAGAAAAATCCAGCAAAATGGTAAGACTGTGTCTTAGCAAGTTGGGCAGTAGTTCTATGCACTTGTATGCATTTGGTAATATTAAAAACACGATGGGTGACCCGATTCAAAGTAGAAGAAACATGAATAAGCTTTCATCTCCAAAATACTGGTTTCTTTTATTTGTTAAGAGCTATTGAATTTGTTAGGAGATCAAATTTGTTAATTTGATAAAGATAGAGCAAATATCATAGGAGGGTCAGAGGCTGAAGGAAATTAAAAATTTAGCGCACACTTTGAAGTTCAGGAGAACAGGAGGAAGGTCCACGTTAGAAGATAAAAAAGTCACCGGTGTTTACATCTCTTGATTGCAAATGTTGTTCTAAAACCAAGTGCTCATACAAATGAGCTTGCCCCACGCTTGATGCCAATTGCTTGTTGCCATTGTTATCGCATGGAGTTTACCTGCACCTCAAAGTAGTGCCAGCTGAGTTTAAGTGGGTGTACACACAGAACACAAGGAAATCGGTGTGCCTGGGCCCTGCTCTGTGCACATGTGTACACAGAGTGCTCTGCTCTGTTTGCTTTCCAGAGGGACTTCTCTCTGGTCCGCTCTGCAGGGAACCTCAGAAATCTCTTTTCTTAGACACTTCAGTCAGGTGCCATGAATCAGGCTTTTAGGACTTTGACTATGCCCTCTTAGTGAAATCTTAATTAACTCAATGGGTAAAGAGACACGATGACAGTGTTTAGCTCTGAACAGCCCAGCTTTTAATTACAAATATAGGTAAATTGTATTGTTCAATTAAGGTCTTCTTTCTCTTCAATTTGTGTACAGAACATTTATACACACAGCTCTGTTTCTTTAAAAACATTTCATAGCTGCTTCTCTCTCCAGTTTTGTAGAGGATGCTTAGTGTTTCTTTAAATGAGCAGAGTGATGATTCATACAGATGATTTATAAACAAATTCACCATGTCTGAGAGCAGTAAAACTCAATGAGATTTAGCAAAATTTATAGCTAAACTGAAATCTCCTGTGAGCATGGGAAAAGATTTCATTCAGCTCTCAGAACTACTGTTTACATGGTCAATAAAAGGAATTTATAAGGAGACTGGAGAAAAACCTAGCCACCACTGTCTGCATTCTCAGATCAGTTACACTGAGTCACAGCAGATAAATGCTCCCTCACATAGCACAGACAACTTCTTCATGTTCTGTGGGCCAGGAGTGAACTCCAGGTCTCTACAGGAACTCCTTTGGATTAATCACTACTGCTTTTCTTCATTCCCTTTTATATGACTGCAAATGTGATTCCATATGCCTTTATCACCCTCAAATTTATTTGAATGAATAAGAAAATAATTTAATAATAATTCTTTTAAAATACACCATTTTTTTCCTCAGTTTTGAAAAACATAAGCCTGCTTGTAAGTTGTAATGGTACAGAAAGAAAATATTGCTCTTCAACAAACACTTGTCCAGGAACTGGTGAGCTCAATACTGAACTGCACTCTTCCCATTCCATAGCACTGCCTTTCTATGCCTCATGGAGTGTCAGGAGGGATGCAGCTGGGAGCTCAGCACCAGCCTTCCTGTCCCTTCACCAGCTGCCACCAGACAGAGTTTGGGAGCACTCAAAGCAGACAACAGATGAAACATATCGACCACACAAAGGAAGGAAAGCTGTTCTGATTAAGAAAGGAAGAAGCCCACCTATATGAAAGGGTAAATTTTAAAAAAATACAGATTGCTGTTTAAAAGAAAATGTATAAGCACTGAGGAGGCAACATTAACAAATCTTTAGGCCCCCTTTGAAAATCAGAGGGCAATGCTAATATTACAGAGGTATGGCCAAAAATGTTACACTTGGGACCTAATCCAAGGACTACTGGAAAGAGCACAGAGTCCCATGAAATTCAGTGGATGGAGATCAGGCAGTCAGTTCCTTATTTCTGTTTACTCAAGTATTTATAGGTTGTGCAGATTTTTATTTTTTTTAAGCAGTTGGATTTACTGGGAGTTACGGTGACCGTAACTGCGTCTAGCAGAGGGATGGAAATGACCCAGTTTGTCTAGGAAAATGTGCAATCTTTCCCTGAAACATTAATTTCTTGCCTCTGATCACTGAGCTGGAGCTGCATGGCTGAATAGAGACTGATTTGCTGCAATGTGATTCCAGTACAGCTGGTTTCCTCTCTTTTTGCTGGTTTAGATAGAAAGTTAAAGCTCAGTGAGGAGATAATTGACCTCTAGAGCCTGACGACCTAGGTATAATAAAGGGAAAGGGGCTCCTGCAGATGTGAGGAGAGAGAAACAGGCCAAGGCCAAAATTAGTAACAGACAGTACTTCAGACATGAAATATGGCAGGGGAAAGCAGGGGTGAAAGAAAAGTCCTTGCTATATCATAACAGAAAAGGAAGTTATACAGAAACTCCAAAGTATAGCAGAACCTTTTAAGAAGGTTAATTTGAAGTGTTTGGAGCATTTTCTGATAAAAACTGCAGGACTATTTACTTGTCCCTTTTAGGACCATTTCATCTCTATATCCTTATTTGGATTCAGGTCCCCTGATAGATCAATTTGATACTTTGCATGTCTTGAGCTGATGCAGTAGAATGGTCTGAGTCCCACTGGATTTCTCAGGGTTCTTGTGCACAGGGAATGCTAGGAATTGGGGCAGACATGGAGATGGTTGGCTAATGTCAATTTACAAGATGCAGGGCCAGAGCTTGACCTCTGCTCCTAACTTCATTACCACATTTCTCTTGCAATCCAGCCTAGGTTTCATAGAGGTTACTTTCAGGTCCCAGTTTTAAAATGGTAACAAGATAATGTGCAGTAATTGAAAGTTCACATTTGCAGCGCAGTGCTTTAGCATACCTACATAACCAGCATTACATGGGATAAACCTGGACCTCCATGAGCTTTTATCATGCAGTTAGGAAGGAGGCATGAATAGTAACCAGTCTGTATGCAAATATATGTGATGGAGTAACACACCACTCTACGGTGGTGCTGAGAGAATTCTTCTTCCATCATTCCAAGTGGCACAAAGCCTCTCACCTCTACCCTGCTCCTCACACTGAAGAGGTGGAGAGGGATGCAGTAGATTTGCAAGTGGGGAGAGAGCTTAATTTCATGCTCCCTGAATGCATTTCATGCACTGATCAGAGGCTGTGGGAGTAGACTCTGTGTCACTGGACGAGTGCCACAATGTGCTTGCTCTGGTCAGCAAGAAACCATGAGAACAGTAAGTGTAAACAGCACCTGGAAGGAGGAGGTGGATAAGAAGTCTGACAACTACTGCTAAGGACTGTAGATATTATGCAAACGAGGGATAAGAAAAGGGAATTATGGGTAGACAAATATGCGGGAGTATGCGTGATATGAAAGTACTAGGGAGCTGTATAAAAGCTAGTTGGGAGAGAAAATAAAGGTCTTCGTGTGTGAACAGTGATGAAGTCTGTGCCTCATTGCCACAAGAGGCCGTAAGAAAAGAAGTCGAATCTAGTCAAATCATTTTTGAAGTCCCAGGATCTCGGTGCGATCTGAAGCCTGGGCCAACTTCAAAAGACTAAAAAAAAATGGCAAATTCTTATTGCTTAGTTCCAAAGTTGGTATTATTAATCACAAAGCAGTATCAGCATAATATGCTTCTGCTATTCAACAAGAGTATAAAGGTGCAGCTCAGAAACAGAGTGTATAACTTTTTAATGTACAGTTTTTTAACATATCCCTGTTTTTAAAATCTTCTCTGTCAGTTGTACTTTCGAGTCTGCTTTAAGAGGGCTCACTTTGAGACTAGAGATGCTGTAGTATCAGAGAGTAACCGCAAATCTGAAAGTCTGGGAAGAAATCATTTATGCAGGAACACACCAAATACTGATCCTGTAACAAATACTTGGATGTAACAAAAATATGATTTCTGATGGATATAGAATTCTAAGCACCCAACACTTCTGCAGCATGTAGAGCTGAGTTTTACCTCTTTTCACAGGGACTGGGCAGAAGTTGGTATTGCAAGCTCTCAAGACAGCTGGTTTCTGATGAGGCATGCACCCAGAAGCTGGTCTCCCTTGGCGCAGGCACTGCACGCTCCGGGTCTGCACTCCCCCTCCACAGGTCACTGTACACTGAGGAGAGGAGAAAAGGAAAAGCTGTCTTTCATTGCAGAGACTCTGAGAGCCCATGAAAGCCAAAGGGGGAACTTTCAAGGGCCTTGGATAAGACTTGCAAAGCAAGAGAGGTCATGATTGGATGTGTTGCTGTTCAGAAACTTCCATGAGGGCCATCTTGTCAAAAACATATGTGTCTTTTGTTTATTTAAGGACTCAGCTGAAAATGTGGTTCCTTACTTAGGCATAGAGACAGAAACTGAACATTTTAGAACACCTGTTACTAATTGTCTGCACTGATTTCTTTTGATCTTTGAGCCTCTGGTCACAATCCTGCTGCCTGCAGAGAGAGAAAACTCCCATTGGAATCATAATTATGGCAGTATCTGGGGAAAACCACTATGTTTGCAGAAAGAGCTATGAAGTATTTTAACATTAATAAGCTTTTTACTTGTATGTGTTTCATGAAAAGCAGTCTTTAAGATAAATGTGATCACTTTCATCTGATTGCATTTTCATCAATTGTCAGGCATACATTGTTTCATGTAAATATTATTAAATGAGCATGTGGCTTATTGATATATGACTCATTAAGAAGATAAGTTCCAGAAATACAGAAGCTTGTTTGCAAGAATGTAGAAACAAATACAGACTGATCCCATAATTAATCATAGTATTTAGGGAATTCCAGGCAATCTGTGCAGATGCTCAAATACATTGTGCATAGAGGTATGTAATAGTTCAACCACAGTGTACTTCAAAGAAGACTGAGAAGAAAGTGTTGGAAAATGAGTGTGGAATGCAGTACCTCTCCAGCATGAATATAATTTTTAGGTGACATTCTTCAGTTTCAGGACAAAGAAATGAGCTGCACCAAACTACACGATGGATGTAGACCTGCTGTATCACATTTCAGTGGCTGAGTGGTGTGGCCTTCTTTAGGGAATGGCTATGTGCAGGAGACACCTGGGGACTGTTAGTACTGGAGATAGTTTGGCTGTACCATCAGAGTTTTGACTACAGCAGAATGTAAGGCTGGAGCTAGCTTTAATCTGCAGCCTGGACTCACATTGCCACAGTCACAGTGCCATGGTTGTCAGCATTTTATGCCCACCAGGTGTTTGTGCCACTCCAGCACATTCTCTGTGTCATGATACCACAGCTCTCCCTCTAAGTGTGGTGCTCTCCAAACCCAGCACTGACACCTCACCTGCTAATCCCAGTGCATGTACTGCCCAGGAGTCAGTCACACTGCAGTCATGTTGTTCTGTGGTGCTGTGCAGTGAAGAGCACCAGGGGATGTGCCTTGACCTACTGTACAGAGAAACTCGCTCCTTTTGCAAACTCTGTAAGAGCCAAGACATGAACCAGTGCTGCTGAAAGACTGCTAGCTAGGACAGGGAGAAAGAGGTAAGAAAGCTTCACACTCCTACCTGCTGCCAGGGCGAGGAATACCAGCCAGACACCATGTTATATGTCTGTGATGGACAAGCTCCCTTGTTACAAGCTTCTTCCAGGTTCGTGTTTGGTTTCTTGATGTTTCTGCACCTTCTCTGAGGAAAGGTGATCAATTTCCCATGGAGGCTCTTCTCGCTGCATTTCAGCTCTCGCCTTTGTACACCTGGGCCGCAGGAGGCTGAGCACTGCAGGAGCAAAACACACCCTTTACATCTACAGATGCACTCAGGTAAAGAGGGATGTGCTATGTGCAAGAGACCCTAAATTATGCATTATAAAACTGAACAAAGTTTTGCACTGTAATGTGCAAACTGAAATATGGATCCAAGTTGGTGAAAGTCCTGACTAACAAAGACATCGGGGCACATCCAACTACATCTGTGTTTTGTAGCAGCATGCCTAGAACACCTGATTTTCAAATGACAGCTCAGCTTGCTTTCCTCCCCATGGCTTGTGTGTGCCCTGAGTCTACATTGCCAAAGAACAGCAAAGTCAGACAGTGAGCCATGTAACTGCACCACTTTACCTCACTCCAGGAAGAAATCACCCACTGGAGCTGGTCGTTTTTGGGACAGCGTCCCAGCACACAGGTCTGCTGGGATTCGGGTTTATTGTCTCTGCTGCACATGCTTTCAGGCAAGATTTTCACTTTGGGAGAACCAGTACTTTTGCAGTAGACATCCCGTTTCTTAATACCTCTCCCACAGGTCTTGGAGCACTGTGATGGAAATAAATACTCATTTCAACTGGAGAAAATGAATTGCATTATTTGTATTTTACTGCAGAGCACAGAAACCATAGCTAATGTGCTGTGTAGCTGCCATTGTAATATAAGCAAACTTGAAATTCTATTGGCAATTAAGTAACAGTAACATCTGTATGTCACTTGTAAGACATTGTTCTAAGTGTTTTCTTAATGTAAATTATGAATGCTCACAGGCTCCTGTAGAACAGGTAAGTAATACCTCTATTTTATAGATGAGCTAAGTTGGACTTGTGAGCAAAATGCTTTAGTGAACAAAAAGCTTTTTTCCTTGCTGAATGCTGGTCCTAACCCCCCATTGCAGAATCTCCCATGGTAAGATGCTCTCAGCTATTTGTTATTTTGTCCTCACCTTGGCCTAGAGGGATGAGTTAGAGGCAGAGAAAACTACCCAGGGAATTGATACATAACTCCTTCACCAAACGAATCTCACCACAAGACAGAATCTGATACAGACAATGGTTAAGAAGTTTGACCAAATATATTTTAATTGCCAGCTGCAGCTTAGGACAAGACATCAGTGAATAGATATGAATTGCTGTACTGTGGTTCAGTGGAACAGACATTCTGTAGTTTTCACTGCCTTAGCATACAACAAAATGCCTGAATGAGCCATTTCTCATAAAATTAAGAAATAAACAGCCCTGAAATAATGCTGCCAGCTTTCTACCTTCTTGCATCCTCCTTCTAATAGTCCTTTCAACTAATAATTATGGGGCATATTCCAAGGCAGAATCGTGTACTATCAGTACTTGCACCAAATTACAAATGGTTTTAAAAGATTTCATGAAAGCACACTTGTGCTGAGAATGTAACAAATATCTGCATGGTGAGAATCTGTGGTTTCAATCCTTCCCCAAACAAACAAAAATACCTTTTCATTTAAAATGACACTGATTTGTGTAGACAGGCTGGGTTTGGATTAGATATTAGGAAGAAATCCTTCCTTGTGAGGGTCCTTTGAGTCTGTGATGTAACAGTGTTCAGCTGAATCTTAAAATCTTCACTAATTTGTTCAGTAGGCCTATTCACTACATTTCATCAGGACTCATGAACTTAATTTTTACAGACTTATTTGAAAATCCCAACTTGAATTTTCAACCTTTTAAAGAGGATGAAAATGTATTTTTTTACTTGTCTTATTTACTTATTGATTTTAAAGGAAAGAAAGTTTGAAAGTGTGAATGCATTCGAAGACCTGGGTTTTCTGATCTCCTGTCACATTCAGGTTTACTTCAGATGCACTGGAAGAAAAAGTGTCTTTTTGAATGTTAAAACTCTTTTATGATGGACTATTGAGTAGTTACTTGTCAGTCACAGAGCATTCCAGGGCACTCCCCTGGAGAGGCAGTTCATGCTTCTCAGCTGAGAATGCTGAGGTCAAGATGTTCTTGAACACTGAAAGAGTAACAGGACCAGGAACAGAACACATACGTAATAGATTTTTCAGTAAATTTAAATTCATCTTGAATCTCACTAAAAGGTAAAAATAGAACTATTGTAGCTCCTTTTGCTACGTGTACCGTCATCTCTCTCTGAACCCCCAGATTTCCCAGTACCTCATTTACCCTTAGACTAACCGTTCATACCAGCATCAATAGCAGTGAAAGATGGAGCAGAGCTGAGCTTTGTGTAAGTGTATGTGGGTTTTTTAGCTCAGGTGGTTTATTGTCAGGCAGCTCACAGGTGTGTAAAGCAGGGGGTGTACACACAGGAATCTGCCCAAGGGCCTCATGCCCCTCATGGCAATAACTGCAGCAGCACTCTGCTTGCAGTACAGTAGCTACTCTAATGAAGGCAAAAGTACAGAAATTATTAGTGAATATGTAAATCAACCCTCAATCCACATACATGTGTGCACATATTTCTTCATTCTTTGACTGTCTGTCATCTCTGAGAGAAGTCAATATTGCTTGGCAAGTAATCTCAGAGAGGGTTAATGGCTCCATAGAATTCAAAGAGCCTTAAGTTTTGAAACCAGAAAGAATTATCCATCTATTTGTATGAACCTAAATGAACTCCACATGTCTGCTTCTGGCCAGCCCTCCTGTCTGAGCACTTCTGAGGGTTGGTTATGATGCATATATAGTGACATGCTTATACATACATAGTTTACATATTCTCTTTATGACGAGAGCCACTTGCAAAACACTGATCTTCACAAAATTTTCACTATTCTTCTTTTTTAAGGAGATTGTTTTGCAATATTTTCCTTATGCCAGCAGACAAAAGTGTAAGTTTGTCTCCAAATTACCTGAGACCATGGGCCAGGGCTCCATTCAGGTGGGCAATCATGACTACTGCACATCTGCACCTGTGGTGGGGTGCTGACAGGACACAGGGAATGGGAAACAACCTCCTCTCTTTGGAATGCCCTTTTCTGGATGCACTGAATGAGACGACTTTGCTGCCCTCCTCCACAAGATTTGCTGCATGTGCTCCATTCACCTGCTGACCAGCTTAAAGGAGGAAATATATGTTAGAAACACAGGAGTGCAATTATCTTTATAAGATCAATATGTATGAGCCACCTATCAAATATGAGTTATGCAGGGATCCTGCTCAGCCTATCTCCTGATGCACTGCTATCTGTTCAGGCAATCAAAGAGCTGTAGTTACATAATCTATCTTCAAAGCATGGAACATTTCTTAGGGATGAAATATAAGTCACACAACTAGAAAAATGAGCATTTTTTATTTACAGTTCTCATCTACTAGAACCAGCTTGCCTATGAATCTGCCCTGGAATCTGGAATTCCACAGGGACCAAGAGATGCTGCCATTGAGGCTGGTGGAGTATTTACAAGATATAAGGGTCTGCTTAACAAATTACCATTCCTTTTTAACTTTGAAAACATCTCTCTCAAGCAGGAAAAGTTTTTAATAAAGAAAACTTGGATGGGGCTCCCAGCAACCTGGGCTACTGGAAGGTGTCCCTGCCCATGGCAGGAGATTGGAACGAGATGAGCTTTAAGGTCCCTTCCAGCCCAAACCATTAAACGATTTTATGATTCTATGACTCTAGGATTTAAATATCCTCTGACTTAATAAATTTGGCAGACAGAGACAATGTAGAATCTAAATAAAACAGAGGAAATTGAACCAGAACAAGCTGTTGGGCAGTTCTGTGTTTGAGGCACAGGCATGTTGCAGTTACATGTCAGGTCTGAGGAGTTATTGCCAGTTGCTTGGGGTAAGTGCAGTTTTGAAATGCCCATAGCTGCTAAGTATTTCTATTCTTGAAGGACTGAGTGGGTCCCAAGCCATTGTGGAACACTTTGAAACATGCAACTAAGTGCCTTTGTCCTCAAAGGCTTCCAGTGTAAGACCATAAATAATAGTTAGGTAGGAAAACACAAGTGAAGAAACAGAGGAAATTATGAATGACTACATGATTACTTGTTGAGAACTCTTATTCAAAGACCCAGCACTGAAATGAAACTAAAGATTTTAAAACAGCAGTTTTACAAATTTTGAAAGGTCCTTGTCTCAAATCTGACTGCTTGGCCTACCCTGCTTCCACAGTGTCTCACAGCATCAGTCCTGTGACCACTGGAACAGCTGCTTACATACAGTTTTAATGACAAGAAAGCTTTTTTTCCTGTGTGAAAGATGCACAGAATCCCATTTGCCTATGTGCTCACATCTGCCTGAAAACAAAGCTAATTTTAATTTGTAAAAAATGCATAAAAAGCCTATTTTTGAAAAATGCCTTTGGGAATAGAAGAACTCTTAGAGTCTAATAACTTCAGTAACTGCCAAAAGTACTGGGAAATATAAAAGGCACTAAGTTAAGGACAAAGAAATATTAATGTCAGTAGTTATATAATTCCAGAACATGTCAGAAGTTTCCTTTTTGTCTGATTTATAAATATTTGGACCACTGCACTACAAACGTCTGAAAAAAAGAAGTTTTAATCCATTTTACAACTTTTAATTAGTTTGCCTTGATGTTTCTGACAGCAGTAATTCGTAGAGCAACCAAAAGTGTTCCTTTTAAGCATTTATCCACCATAACTGCCCAGAAAGCTCTCCTCTTCACAGAGGAGAAGGCAATAAATCCACTTTAATGTCCTCTAGTAAGCTGCCATTTTCCAAGATTATCTGGGCTGTGATCCAAGAGTATCTTTCATTAGCTCAAATGACTAAATAATTATGACCAGATTTGGCAGTTCTGAAATCCAACAACAGTGTTCAGTGCTGGTGCCTTTCTGTGTTCTTACTGTTGGGACACTAGTTTGGTCCCACTCAAACTAATAAGCCTTTCTTACACAGCAATTATTCCTCACTGACCTTTAAAAGTCTGGAGCCTCCTTTATGTCCCAAAGCTGACACACTTGTATCTCATCTGTTAGTCACCTCCTTCCCTTGCTTGTTCTGCCTGCCATATTTGGTTTTGCTTTATTTGCTGGCTATTGAGCATTCTTTGTTTCCTCCATGGTATTTACTCAACCTACATTTTTTTCTGTTGGCAGTGTCAGGTTTATTGGAAATATTACACGCTGTGACATTCTGGGCATAGTCCTCCACAGAGATATTCTGGCACAGTTTCGCTCAGCTGAATGGCAGTCTGTTAATTTAAGGCATGGTCCTACATGCAGATCCTCCATACCTTAATATATCCTAAGCATTTTAAGAATAATTAATTAGTAAGTTGAACTCTTTTTCCCAAGAGGTGCTTGGGGCTTCTACATTTTTCTTTTTGTACTCTTTTTAGGGTTCAAATCATTAATTGTGTTTTAAAGTAGTAAATCATAGAATAGCTGCAATTTCAGCATGAATACATTGCCCCATGTGTCAAAACGGATATTCAGCATTTTCAGTGATAGGCATATCAGGGGATGTTCAAAATACATTGGGATCTCAGGTTAATAGAAATGGAAGTTTTGTTTGTGTTCAACAGAAATTAATATGATTTGGGTGGAGCCTTATGCCACATCAAAACAAAGGTAAGCATAAAGAGCCTATAAAGACTCCCGAGGACATCACAGACAATACATTTCTGTGTGCATGATACTGAGTGCATTGGATAAAAAGAGTTCTGGCAGAATGTAAGTTGCATATGAAAAGATTGTGTTTGGTTACAGAGATTACTTAAAATTGGTATTGAGAAAATCATGTGGCTAAATGCAATGTAAAGAAACTGCTGAAGCAGGAACATGGGACTCTCATGTCACATGCTACCATTACTTAAACCTTATTGCTACTGTTTTGTGGTCATAGTGTATAATTTGCCATTTGGATTTTGTGTACTCTGCTGTACTCTTCAGATTTTGCAGGAAATTCCAAACTATTACTGGGCTATTTTTCAGTATGTTCAACATATTGCAAACTATGGGTTTTTAAGTAAAAACAAAGTCACTGCAGAACATACACATCATTTTACTTTGCCCCATCATCCTCTTCTGGACTGGCATAGATGAGGAATGATCCATATTAAACTCCATTAAATGTGTTATTTTATCAAGTATGTACATGAGTGGGCTTAGCCAACTGCTTTTACAGTCCTGTTGCTTTTATCATGAGAGAGTAAAACCAGCAGATGACATCAGGTCTAGACCCTTCCTCCATTTCATCTGCTTCAATGCATCTTCAACTGTATTAATCTCCCACTGAAATACTCTTTCATTTTTTTCCACATATCACTTCAGAAAATCTCCTTTTCCAGAAGTTCAAGTGCCTTGTCCAACACAGTACAACTTTTCTGTTCTTTAACAGCAAATTAAAAAATGCTAAGGTTGCAAAGATAGGAATCAAAGAGTGAAAAAACTAGCAGGAGAAAGAAGGCGAATGTGCCTTAAACCTACCCTTTTATATTCTAAGCCACATAATACTGTGCTTAATTACATGAGCACACAACATTTTTTTTCCAAAGGACACCAACTATAGCTACCATAAATCAGTGTAACTTCCTTGGTTTTTACATTGATTTAGACCCCTTGGTTTCTAAGTGCTTATGTATATGTCAATGTCTTCCTTTGCTAGACACCCTTCTTGCATATTTTCAAAAACTGGATTATTCACATAGGCAATGTCTTCATATTTATTTCTGTGGGCACCAGGAGCATTGCTGACAATTTATTTGGCTTAGTCTTCTTCCTGGTACCATAATACTCTGTGGGACATTTTGTCCAAAAATCACTAATTACACCTCATAAGATTCTTTTAACTTAATCTAATATCTGGAATTTGAGTCATGGGCCAACCTTCCACATGGGGAACAGCACTTTACTCAGGAAATGGACTTAGTGATTCAAGATGAGTAAAGGTGACTGAACAGGCCTCAGATGCAGCTGGATTTGCTCCATCTCACACAGCTCACCCCTGCACAGTGACAGAGCAGAGCAGCCTTCAGGAGGCCTATCTTAGCAACACTAGATACACCATGTGCCCCACTGCTGTCTTCTGGCAGAAGCTGACAGGACTCACATCTTTAAACAGTTCCTGGTTGACGTTACAGAATACAAAGGGGTTCAGCTAGCAGCTGCACAATTCCATGTGCTGCCGGAGAAGACTTCCTTCATGGCACACTGAGACATAAGGCACAGCAAACAGATACAAAAACAGAGAGAACTTACTATGCTGGGCAGGGATTAGTGTTGCATAGTTTTGTTTCAGTTAAAGGCTTCATCCTTGGGCCACAAAGGGAGGCGTTAACCCGTGCACGATGATCTTCTAAACAAACTGCTTTTGCTGTAATGTGTCCTATGGAAGTATTAAAAAAAATACACTATAATAAACATTTATTCAATATATAAGAGAAAAAGTAGTATGGAACAACTTTAACTAAACAAGTCCAAGCTCATTTTTGCTACAATTCCACTGACTTGAACTAAATAAAACAGGATTTTTTTTGGCAACATGTTTTTAAGATTGATTTCCTTCTCTTTAACACAGGTACTACTGAAATCAGATTGAACATTTCAGTTATAAACAGCATATTTGCAGAATCTTCCCCCAGCAAAAAACTGCCATTCTTCAAATCCTAATTCCCTGCAGACACTTGCAGCACTTGCTTAGAGCCCTCCTCATGCACTTGCAAACTGCATATGAACATCCTGCAACACTTTTACAGACTCCAGAATTCTATGGGTTCCTGTACCTAAACTCAATCTAGTGTCAGCATCAGGACAGGTTACAGAGAAGACTGCAAATGCCTTGAGAGATGCAGTGATTTTATAGATTTATCTTTGAGCTGTATCATTCACCTCACACATGGTTCATTGGGCACAGCGAGTCACATTTGGAAACACAGTTGTTTGCATCATTTTTATATCCATGCTGCAACCTTTTAAAGGGAAGGAAGAAAATACAGCTGTCATAATTTACGGCTGGAGTGCTCCTGGTGGGTCTTTCTTTCATAAGCAGTTTACTGAGATGCTGTGAAGTCTGCCAACACACTAGCAAGATAGTTCTTTGTTACTCAGTCATATTCTTTGGTATTGAAGACTTCCCATGTGCCAGTTTTCTGCTTTCATTACATCCCAGAATTACTTTGACTGATAGAACACCCGGGATTTAGAAGAGGAATATAGCGAGAAGGAATCCTTAATTTATATGGAATTTCAGACTGACCTAGCAGAACTAAAATATTGGCAATTAAACAGTGAGAAGATCGGGGTGCAACTGTCAGTAAAGGTCTTGATAATATCTTAGTCTTCAGTTGCTCTTTACAGAAATGATAAATTTTCCTCATTATTTGATTCAATATACCCAAAGTACAACATCAAACCACATATTTAATTCCCATATTACTTCACCAGCAAGACATCATATGCATACAGATTGACCTAAACACAAAGGTCTGAGCCACTGTAAGAGACATGAATTGAGACTGGCATGGATTTTACTTTTTTTCACTATGAAGGAAACACAAAAACACTTCATCTGTGTTCTAAGTTGTAGAATAAAAAAAAATAAGAACCAGGTGTTCAGTGTAAACCCCTGTATGTATTGATACATTTGCAAAATTAAAGGCAGCTGAAACGTTTGAGGTGCTTTAAAAAATCATGAACAAGAGACCTGGCAATGGGAAAGTCACCTACCACCACCACAGATAGCTGAGCACTCAGACTGCACCGTCACCCAGGAGTAGCTGTGTTTTCTGACAGATGTCTTGTTTTCAGTGTTGGTTTTGGGAAAAGTATATTCCCAAGCAATCCCAGGATTTTTGCCTTGTAACAGGATCTGTAGAGGGGTATTTGGGGTTTGTTTAAAAAAATAGGATTCTGTCATTCTGAAGAAAATGAACTACACATGATACACATATAATAAATAGATACACACCATGCTTGTGAAAGAATTTTCAGGAGGCCTAAAGGAAAAACCATCAAAGCAATTCCTGAACAGCAAAGCATTGCTTGGCCTAACATCTGCAGGGCCTGTAACAGAGGAGTGCAGAAACACACAGTCCAGCAGAACACCCCTGTAAATCAGGGGGCATCTGTCTGGGTTGGTGAAGTAGAAATGCCTTCAGCAGACGTGGAATATCCCAAAGACTTTGGGCACTGCCACAGCTGCCCCAGCGCAGCTCTCAGTGCTCTGCTCCTGCACCTGGCCCTGCCCAAGATGGTACCAGCACTCACTGGGAGCCCCTGGCAGGGACCAGAGTCTGCCTGTAGCAATGGAGTGGATGGATTCGGGATCTGGGGCTGGGAGGAATTTACTCTCTCTTAGCAAGCCCAGTCCAAGCTAGCTGATCCTTCCACAAAGCTTTCCATGAAGGAAGCCTTTGCCCATTAAGTAAGGACTCAAACGCTTTACTGAAAGAAGCAAAGCAGCAGTAAAGGTCTGTGGGGCTGGAAGTAGAGATGGTTGGAGGTGGCTTCTTGAGGCTGAGGGTATAAAACAGAAGGGTTTTTTTTCTTGAAAAGTAATTCTTTTCTATGCAGACTGGTGATACATTTTGTTTGGAAGACACTCAGCTGGTATTTTTCTCATCATGATTGAAGCTGATAAAGCTTCAGTCCAGGAGAGAGCCTGTCCATGGGGGTCTACAGAGCAAAAAGGATTGGAAAAATCTTTTATTCATGATTTAGCATACCATGTTAGAAAATGTATAGAAAGTGTGTTTACTGACTATAACAACAAACATTGCTATTTAACTCAGGGAGCCCAGCTTTCAGGGTGCACTATTTTAGTGGGGAATTATACGACAGTTTTCATGCAGGCAACTTTCTAAAATTCACTGTATTCATTTCAAGACTGAATTATAATCAATGCAAGATGCACGAACATCTGACACATACCTAAATTTGGGGAGAAATTTCTATTTAACAGCATTTATTTTATAAACCTTTGGGCAGCAAAGTGCATTTATATTCATACTTAATAGAAACAGTGCAAGAGTTTACAGTTACAGAGCTCTATTACATTTTAATTCTTCACCAATATGGATCTTGTCATAGAAATATAAAGAGCAGGTGCAGTTAACCTCAGTTCCTAAATACGCTTTTTGCTAAGCACTAGCATTTCAAGTACAATTCAAGTCTGTGTTACTGATTGACATTCAAGATATTAATTAAATATCAGTTAAGTTCACATGATATCCGACCTGAGGCTTAAGCAATCCATGTATGTAGAGCTGATCTCTGTATTCTGCTTTCATAAAATAGCAACCAACTTGCATTTATGTTAAGACCAAGGAATATAATGACATTTTGAAATGTAGCCAAGGGTTTTAAAGTATTCTGAAAATGTACGTATTGGAAAACAGAAATTGCCCATGACAGTGAAAATTCAGACAAAATTTACATGATCTCCAGCTCAATAATGCTGAACAGATGAAGGACCCGGACTGCATACTGTTTACTTTCCTAGAAGAAAGAAAAACAGATGCTCTATTTTCCACTCTTAACAGCTAAAGATTTTATTTCAGTTAGGGAAACTCAAGAACGACCCAAACTGATAATACAGCCACTAGGGCTGCAAAACGCAAAATAATTCCAAAAGAATTGGAGAGTATCTGCCTTCTCATGGAAGGATTCAGATTAGAAGATCCTTCAAGCACAGGTAAGGGGAAGTATTTCACATGAATTTTTCCATCTCACCCATCCAAGCTTAATTCATGAGCACCTTAGAATACCTGTGAGATTATGGAAGAAATAGATCTGAGAGTGGTTACTGACCTCTTTATTTTGACTGAAAATTCTTGGTAGAGATAGTATTATGGATGTGCTTTAGGGATGAGTTACAGATGCAAGTATACATCACAACAGGTTTATAAGACCAGGAGTAAAATCAGCCTGAACTTAGGAAACATTAGAATTGAGAGTGCTGTGCAACTTCTCCTGCCCTGTACAGATGCACCCCAAACCTTTGGATTTCATACTGCTTCCCAGAAAGCCTCTGTGATGTCCAGAGCCCCCAGCACATGGTGCTCATTTATGAGCATATCACAGAGTTTCTGCACTGTACTTTATGCTTATTCTTTGATGTGTGGTTCTATGCCTCTACTTATTGTAGTCTATTCAAACCATTCCCAGTGTAACTTTGTTCAGGACTTTTTCCCCTTGGCTATTCATCACTATCCAATGCAAATGTTTTATAAGATTTAACAGCCCCTTCAGATAAGGAAAACAACTCTTCTATATAAATTTTTAATTTTAGAAAACTGTGAGACTGCTGATAGCAAAAAGTCCAACTGTTAAAACAGCTGTTCCACAGTCACTTTGAATCTTGAACCCCGAGTCGACAGGTTTTAAGAGTTTCCAGATAAAACAGGTTGCAGTAACATGTGCTCACTCCTTTTCTCTTGATGACAAATTGAGACAAATATCTAAAGTGTAAAGTTTCAGAACATGTGTTTTGGAAAAAAAAGGGGTTTGTTAATTCTAGTAAGAATTGAGTCCTGGAAAACTATTCTTTAATTAAAACAATTCCTTCCCTGATCTTTCTTTCAGACCAGACCTCAGAATGTTTTAATTTGCTTTTACTCATCAGAAGGTCCTGTAAGCCCAACGTATTATCACAGATCTCAGCCTTTCAGGCAGCCAGAAACACTTTCGCCCATTTCAGCAGGTGTTCTGTGTTCCTTCAAGAGCAGAGGCTGAAATTCTGTCTGGCCTTTTAGTAAGTCATGTCAGCAGAGGAGGAGGTTTTGTCCATACCACACAACCTTCTGTGAGTCCTCATCTCATTTGATTCTGACAATTGTCACAAAACTGTGCTGTGTCAGTGGCCAAGAAAACAGCAAAGTTTAAAAATTAAAATATCGTTCAGTATTAGACTGAACATTTGCCTTCTGAAAGCACTCGTTACCTTGTGACAGTAGAGACAAGGAACAGAATGAATGTGTCCTGAACACAGAACTCAGAACAGGTAAGAGGCAGGATGAGAAGGTAAAAGTAGCAAAGCTTTACTCCTGTTAGGGCAATACTCTCCTGGTGCTTCAGCAGTGCAAAGGGAACAAAGAGGAAATGATCTCGGACGAGTCAGAACAAGACACATTAGCATCTATCACTTCAGAGAACAACCACACAATGGTGTAAGGAACTTGCAGCCTCCAGCTGGGTGAGTGCCTGAGGGATAAATTCTGCACACCAGGCAGGCTGGGGCTGGGCCATACACACTCTAAGACCTTGGGCTGCACCCCCTCCTCGCATATTGGGAAGCAGCCACAACTATAATAGGCAGGTGAAGGGAACTTCCTCTCCATTTCCTGGCCAGCAGCCAAGGCTGGAGCCCCTTCCCACCCAGCTGACTCCAAGAGGAAATGTTTACCAAGCAAGAGCTGCATCACAGTCAGGTGTCCTTCCTCTTGTATCATGTCAGCTACATAGAACACAGACAAAATCAAACTATGGAATAGTATTGGAAACAAAATACTACAGGGCACAAAACCATATGCTTTGCAGTCCCTGGCACTCAGCTGAAAAATAGTATACAATGTATAATGTTCAAGTTTTCATCAGGAATGCAATACTATTGCAGAGTTGCAATTTTGACAAAGTAATGAGCATATAAAAAGTTTTCTATCGTATTTTCAAACATTCATTATAAAGCCTTTCCTTAACAACCCAGTAACTGAAGTCTGCATATTCAGCCAAGTTATCAGATCTACAAATTTGGAAAGACCTCCAGTGCTAGTCTACTTAACTGGACGCAATCCAACATCTTTTCAGCCAACTGGCATTTGATCCCAAATTTACAGCTGGCAAACAACCTCCTTAAACATTTCCAGTTCCTCAATAGAACTGTTTAATGTCTACCTTTAACACATCAACCACCTGACTTCAGACACAACACTCAGCAGCTCTGACCGCAGGGTGCAGAGTTATAAAATTTACAGCTTCTTGAGTTGGAAAACCACAGGCTCTACAGCTGGAATCTGCCGGATCTACTCAGAATAAAAAGAACTGTGGCTCTCGCTTAGGGTACAAAATGTTGAAAAAATGGATAAATTGAACCCTCCTGCGTAAAGAACCTTTTCCTTTTGCTGCCAATTTTGACTTGAAAGCTAAAAAGTTTTCTAAACTAGCTGTGCATCTGCTCCTTTGAGAGTTTTTTTCCTATGGCCATCCTAAGTTTGCAATACAATACTCCATTTTGCAGGTCAAGTTTTCAAAGTCTCTACCATCACTGTTTTGTTGTGACTGACTCTGTGCTTTTCAGGGTTTTTTTTAATTGTAAGATGTGTACGCGAAGTTACTTACAAGACACTGAATTAAGAGAGAATAATTTACACCAGCTAAACTCCTCTTTCTTCCATTATTTTTTTCCAGTGTATAGGAAAGCATACTACTGCCTGGCTTGTAAAAAGCTGAAAAAATCAGTATCTCTGTGAAGGCCTAACAGACATTTACCAATCACTTACAGAGTGAAGCTGAGCACAGAGAAAAAAGGCAGGTAAAGGTCTGTTTTCATCTGCACACATTCTGCATGTGCCCAACTTACAAAATGGGCATGAGCTTTGAATTCCAGCACCCCTGCTAGCTTTAATCTGTGTCTTCAAATTGAATCTAGATTTCCTGGGTCACTCCCATGTTTTGTAAGTTTTTGCTAATTCTTTAGGGGGATGTAACAAAGTTAAGCTACCTGCAGCGAGCGTAGATGGAGAGGTCTGTGCTCTGCTTGAGACCTCCAGTTTTCATCCCCTGTGGGTCTACAAACTGTTTAATAAATATCCTAACATCCAACATCCTAAACCAGATTCCAATTTGTTTGTTCAATCAAGATTAATTCCATTG